CTGAGGGCAGATTCACTAACACTGAGACTGAGGGCAGATTCACTAACACTGAGACTGAGGGCAGATTCACTAACACTGAGACTGAGGGCAGATTCACTAACACTGAGACTGAAGGCCCCTGTCCACCGGGAAAACCAGACTGACTGCCATGAAGTTGATTCTGATTCACGGCAACAGGACAGTAGAGCTGCCCTTGTGGGTTTCTGAGAATGTGGCTTTCCTTCAGGGAGTAGAAAGCCTTTATTTTTCTCCTGTGGGGCAGTTGGTGGTTTTGAACTGTGAACCTGGTGAATAGCAGCCCAATGCATAACCTCTACGCCACCAGGGCTCCTTTTCTGAGATTGACAGCAAAATCAACATACAAACAAATAAATAATTAAGCTCCAGTTCTTCTCCGTTCTTGCCTTTTTCCGCCTAAACCGCACTGCTGCTATACTGGGGGCTTCAAAAAGCTCACGAGAAGCAACAGAATAAGAAGATAAAGGGATTTCTGTGCCCACATTTTGAAGCCCCCTGGTATGGGTTTTTGAAGAGGCCTCATGGCATGGTGGGCTTATGCGTTGGGCTGCTAACTGCAAGGTCAACAGTTTGAAACCACCAGCCACTCTGGGAGAAAAACTCTACTCCCGTAAAGAGTTCGTCCTGAAAACCCAAAGGAGCCATTCTACTCCGTCCTACAGGGTCGCTGTGAGGCAGGATGAACTGACGGCACAGAGCTCTCGGGGCTGTTTTTAGAGATTTTAGAAGCACAGGACTCTTGAGTTAGCCATCAGGCAACAAAGGAAAATCCACTGAATTAAACTAAATTTACAATTAATGGGGCAGTCACCAGGACCTGGCATTAAAATACTGCAAAGAAGACGAGTCCTGGATTCTCCCCCGCATGACAGTACCCACTCCCTTCTGCAGCCTAGCCTCCATGCCACGCCAGCCAATCAGGAGCCCTGGAATAGATGCCGACTCATGGCGATCTCACGTGTCTGTGTGTGTGTGTGTGTGTGTGTGAGAGAGAGAGAGAGATTGAGAAGGGCTGTGGATGAGCTTTCTGCAGCCAGGCCTTTCTTCCGAGGCACGTCTGTGGACTCGGACCTTCAAGCTTTCAGTTAGCATCTGGGTGTGTTCATCATGCGTGCCACCAGCCCAAGCCCTCCATAAAGAGTCTCACCTCTGGGATTTGTCTTCCCTCAAGGCCCCCCAAGAAAGGAGGCAGAGGAGGCACTATGAGCTCAGCGATGGAGGGCTCTGTTTGCTGTTATACAATGGGCATATAACAGTTTTAAGCCAATGTAATGAGTTTTATGTTACATTTATGCCTCAAGAGCAAGGTCTTTGATAGGCAGAAACTGGCACCACAACAGTTAAGCACCGTGTTGCTAACCAAAAGGTTGGTGGTTCGAACCCACTCAGCAGCTCCAAGGGAGCAGACCTAGTGGTCTGCTCTACAAACATCACAGCCTGTGCGTTCCCACTGGCTGATGAGGCTGATGCAAAGCAGCTCAAACTGGGGCGGGGGGTGGGGTTGGAGATAGGGGTGGGTACCCAAGGGTGGACTCACAGGTTGGTGGGGAGGGGGTGTTTTTTGTTTTGTTTTAAGATTACAACCTAGGAAACTTTATGGGGCAGTTCAACTCTGTCACTTTGGGTTGCTGTGAGTGCCAAATTGACTTAATGGCAACTAACAACTTGTAATCCTTAAGACCACAGAGACAACTTCAGGGACTTTTCCTCCAGGAACGTCCTCACTTGGGGGCCTTGTCTGAAAGAGCACCTCCCTGTTAAAAGCAGAATTTTGTTTCCCAATCAAAAAGTGGTGGAACCCTAAGTCAACAGACTAATTGAATATAATCTGCCAATGGGCCGAAGTCAGTTGGATCCTAAATCTTATCACCCCTGAGTTACAGAAAAAGCAGCTTTGAAAGAGAGAGATGCCCACAAGGGACGGAGACAGGTGCCATTGTGGGGCTTGCCCAGAACTGTGGGGCCAAGGCACACCAGGGTCCACTGACAAGGAAGCCATCTGCACAGCTGATACATAGATTCAGGCATGAACCCCAAGAACTATGAAAAACAAATCAACTTCTCTTTATCATGGGCTAACTTGTGCCTATCACAAAGGCGTGTTGTAAATCCTGGTCCCTAGACTTGTGGATGAAAATTATGTTAATGAGACTATGTTAGTGTAGGAAAACCAAATCAATTCCCTGCCATGGAGTACCTCCTGACCCGTGGCAAACCTACAGGGCAGAGTTTCCGGGGCCGGGGTTCTTTACCGGAGCAGACAGCCACACCTTTCTTCCAAGGAGAGCCCGGTGGGTTTGAACTGCTGACTCTGCTGTGAGCAACCCCACTCATAACCCCAGATTCCCCCTGGGCGCCTAGTTGAGTAGACAGGTGTGTCTGACACCAGTGTGATGATTAAGGGTTATGTCAACCAGACACTCCTGGGTCAGGGTAGGGCTGGACCACAACCTCTCAGTTGTGTCTTGGCCTCCTTGTCATAGGCCCTTCTGTATAAGCGTGAGAGACACTGGGGTTTGCTCCCTCTCTGTCCCCTGCCTGCTGGGACTCTGTGCCTCCAGGGGTAACCCCACTGGGCTCTCTGACGCTGAGGGCCGTCAGCGTGGCTCTGCTGCCACCGTTTCCACCAACTTTGGATGCATACAACTCTGAACCCACTGGCCTGTGATCCCTGTGCCATCGGCCTGCAGCTACCTGAGTTTGAAGAGGGCCCCGCTAACATCCTACTTAGGGACTTTAATTGGATTGGGCTGGGATGCCCTTCTGATATGGAATGACTTGTGGATAGAAAGTTCTGCCGTGATACACAGAGGAGTGTCACTGACTTCGTTTCTCCAGACAACCCAGCCTAACACAGCCAATGGCCTTTGAGATCTGAAAAGAGCAGACTGGGCACAGAGAAGGAAGCACTGAGAGAGGGAAACAAAAACACATGAAGACCATCAAGAAGCGGAGGAACAGAAGCTGAAGGGAGACGCCAGCCTTCCCCCACAGCAGAGAAACAGACAGACAGCATGCCTTCGCCAGGAGCGGTGCCCTGAACTCACACTCTAGTCTCCTAACCGGTGAGAGACTGCATCTTATGTTACAGCCGCACGCACGAACTGATCAGCCAACAGGCCCAGTCCACACACACCCAGCCTCTCGCCACCCGGGCCCGGCTCACCTCCTTTGTCCCACTCTGCTCTGCTACCAGCTGGTCAAACACGGTCCCGTAGTCCTCGTAGATCTTCTGCATCTCATTGATGTGGCTTGCAACTTTTTCCATTGCCTTCAGTGCTTCTGCAAAATCGGAAACCGTTCCACTTGACCGTTTGGATTTGCTTTGAACCCTACCCAACATCAGAGCCCAAGATTCAAGCCAGAGCTCAGGACCACTCATTACTCTGGGTAACATTATTTAGATGTACCACACAGTGGCCTATGTGATCATAATCATGATTAGCATGAGTCTTACACCCGCTCCTGAACCTGTCGACACGGCTGGGTTCTAAAGAGCAAGCTGTCTTCGGTGTTAGGTGAACACGGGGCTGAGCGCATCAGGTCACAAGGCGGAGGACTATATCCCTGCAGACCTACCCAATGACAGGACGGCAAAACCACCGAATTGCATCGGCTGGCAAACACGGCCTTGACCAGAACAGTCAGCGCTACTCTTGCCGCACACTTCAGTCATTCATGACTGCTGCGTGTGCACTGTGAATGCCCCAAACAGAAGATTTCTACTACGTTTGCAAATGAGAAATGTTAGCTCACAGGACAGTTGATAACAGGGGAAGGTGTCGGGGAATGGAGAATCCTTGACCTCAAGTCCTCTTAAGGCAGAGTCTAAATAAGACGTATCACTAATAGCTGCCAGCATGTGCTGAACACTCCCTGTGGGGCAGGTCCGATCATTGGTGTTTCGTGAGAATCCGTTCTTTGAATGGCCCACAAAGCCCCCATGCTGTAGGACTGCAGTCCATCCCATTTGGAGATGGACAAAAGATCAGCGGAGGTGCAGAGGGGCTAAGGGATTTGATGGCACTCTGGCAACACGAGAAAGTAGAACCACCCAAAATGAAACGTCCGACTGACTGTTCTCAGAACTCCTGCTGCCTCCGCTCGGGGTCCAGGTGCTGGAGCTGCGAGCAAAACTACTTCTGATTAGACCTTCCACGTGTCTCTGCGAAGGTCTGATTGCCAGGGTAGCTGCTGCGTTGACACATGATGCTCGTTCATTACTTTCTAAGGGGGCTGACGTGGGACAAAACGACTGTCAAAGAGTAAAACTTTAGGTCACCGCCAAGTTCAGTGTTTTTCCTACTCATAACTGTCCCCACACTGAAAGCACCATCTGCCACCCAGTCAAGCTGTGCCCGGCTGCCTCCACTAGGTGGAGCCCCACCCAACGTATTCCAGGAGGAGCAGCATCTGGGCTGCAAACCGCCCCAGAGTTAGACAGAAGCAGGCAGCCCCCCACCCGCCCCCCCAACACTGGCCCAGTGGCCTGAGAGGCCCCCATCCACACACACACACACACACACACACACACACACACACTGGCCCAGTGGCCTGAGAGGCCACTGCAGTCACACAGCTTCAAGGACTGTCTTCTAGGAAGGAGGATGGAACTGTCACCAAGCCTGGGGCCAATCCCATGAGACCCTGGTGGTCCCACAAACAAAAACTTGCTGCCGAGTCCATAGTGACTGAAAGCAACCCTCAAGGACAGGGCAGAACTGTCCCTGTGGGTTTCCGAGACTGGAACACGGAGCTGGCTGCTTCCCATGCTGGCTTCCTTTCACTCTGGCAGCAGGAACCTTGTCTTCAGGAAACGAAGCCAGCTGGGGAGGAGGCTCGATGGGTGGGGGTGGGGGGGTGACTTACCGGTGAGGTGGTAGTGCTCCTCGCTCTCGTGGTCGGTCAGTGACACCAGCTCCTTCAGCAGCAGGGGGTACTTGAGCACCCTCTGCACGGGCTTGATCAGGTAGGACTCGAGTGTGGATGAGTGCTGCTTGGTGGGGTTCCGGGCTTCCAGAAAGGCCTTGAAGGCCTGGTCAGTCTTGGCTATGAGCAAATGGAGAGCAGACTCTTAGCACACGGCAAGAAATGGCAGCGGACAGGGCCAGACCCGATCGGACCATTGCTACCGTTGCCTCCACACGCCAGCCTTCCTGACCTGCCTGACACCAGCCTTTCCTCCCACGGCTCTCTGCCTCCGTGCTGGGTTTGGTACATCGTGGCAGTGGCCACACCAAACGCATAGGCAATACTCGCCGTGAAGGGGTAATTAGGGAGTCAGTAGGTTACCACGGGTCAGGATCAGCAGACAGTAAGGACACAGTCCTGGGTCTCCTCAGCCAGCAGCCACGTCTCTCTCCTGTTCATCGTCTCGCAGCCACATACGTGGTCCATTGGCCGTTGCCTCCACGGGCCGCGGAGCCATCGGTGTGTCACTTGCCCACGGTTCCACGGTCTCGGCCCAGATGAGGAGAAGGTGCCCGTTGTCTCGGCGCTGCTCCTCAGTCTCCTGCCACAGTCTGTTCAGACAGAGACCTCGAACGTGCTCTTCCGAGGCCTTGGGATTCTTCTCTTCCCTACTGCTGCTTCAAAGACGGCGTAACACCGGGAAGTGGCAATAAAAACGGACCGATCCCCTTCTCGGGTCCTAGGCGCCCTGTTTGCACAGTCCGACTGGTGAGCTCCTGGGAGTTGGAGACTCGAGTAGAGGGGCCACAGTCCACCACACACCAAGCCAAAGGCTGCTTGCCTTGTCGCCGATTTCTTCCGTCTTCCTCACACTGTCACCGGGTCTCACACCCGGATGCCTACACGGACTTGGGGGCAAGTCTCGTGAGAGCAGGGAGCTTCCCAGACATCTGCACACCTGCCAAAGTACCAAGCCCTGGCTCTTGGTTAAGAGCCTGAGTGGACGCCAGAGAGCCGTGTCCACGCAGACCCCTCAGACATTGCTGCTGCCGTTAGGTGCCAGGGGCCATCCGCTTGCTTCTGGCTCCTGAAAGCCCTCCGTAAAACAGAAGGACACGCCGCCCAGCCCTGCCCCAGCTTCATGAAGTTGTTAAGTTTGAGCCCGCTGCCATCGCCACTGTGTCCACCATCTCCCTGACCGTCTTCCTCTTTCTCTCTGACCCTCCACTTCACCAAGCACGGCGTCCTTCTCCAGGGACTGCTCTCTCCTGACCACGTGCCCAAAGTCCGTGAGATGACCTCTCACCGTCTTCACCTCTGCAGGGCGTGCCCTCTGGCCGGACTGCTTTCCAGGCAGATTTGCTGGTTCGCCTGGCAGTCTGGTCTTTCCAGTCTCACCAGTGCCATCATTCCAAGGCGATGGTTGGTTCGTCGAATGCAGGTCTTCCATGGCCATGGTCCACCTTCCCCGGGCAGTGACAGTGATGCAAAGCGTCAAGGGTATAGGGGGTCTCTGATAATGCAGGGACCCACCAAATGCATACCAAGTCACTCACAGAAGAGCCGGCTAGCAAAACGAGCAGACAGCACACGTTGCTGCTCGGTCCATAGAGTGCAGGACGGTTTGCAAACCAACACGTTCTCTTCCCCTTTCGACGAAGTTCAGAAGGACTGCAGCCTGCACTCCTGACCGCCTCGGCTCCGGCAACTTCCACCTTCCCACAGCCACAAACAAGGTACCACCCGTGTGCGGCTGGCCGCTGCTGGCAGTGGACACAGCCAGATCTCTGTTCAGTGTCTGAGCACCACAACGAGTATACCCGGAGATACCAGTGCATTTGGTGTTGAGAATGACAGGGGATTCCCCAGCTGCCACTTGAACTTGACCTGCATGCACCAGCACTGGTCAGCCAGCTGCTGGGAGGCAACTATTCTCGCATTTGTGGCTCCCTTACAAGGACACAATCGACACCTTCAGGAAGGTTCGAGCCCCACGCTGAGCGTGATTAGTAGATCACGGGGTGTGCGTGTGACAGCCGTGGTGTTTACGAAAAAGGAGGTCTTCTACCAACTACTGGCGAGCTTCTACCTCACTCTGCGCAATGCCGAGGGCATTAGCCCTGTTGAAAGCTACTCGAGAAGCAAGACGGCTGGGCATTCTGCAGCGGAGGGTCTTCTCACCCAACACTCCTTCAATGCAACCCCTCGGTTTCCTAACCTTCACTTTCCCCGGAGGATATTGTGCTTGTCTGAGGTCAGCCAACGGCACTGCTGTCTCTCTGGGAATGGTGAGATGTCACCAGTGTGGGGGCCACCCTCACCTTGCCCTCCACGGCCACGTGGAGAAACCAGCTCCTGGTTTAGAGCACAAAACATCCAAGAGCGTGCTTCCCAGCGGTGCTACTGAGAAGCCTTTGAGGACAGCCAGGCCTCTCCCCGTCTGTCACCATCAAGGTCAAGGGCGGGGCACAATCCACTGACATCACACCAACCTCGGCACTAAACACAGACTTACTCCATAGGACAACTAACGCACAGAAAGCACAGCTAGGAGACATCTGAGCAGCTTACCTTGCTCTAGAACCTTCTGCACTTTAATATGGTTAGCGCAGAACCCGCTGTACAGCTTAAAGTGGTCGGCATAATACAGGAAGGAGCCTCCAAGGGAAAACAGTAGCTTCTAGAAAGAGAACCAAAGAACCATGTCAGGCTCGGTACAAACAATGGCCACAGGTGACGTGGTGTGCAAGCCGCTGGCCATGGGGGTGAGGCAGGGAGATGTCACTGGTGGAAATCGATCCTGGGAAGCCCCCAGAGATGCCTGAGGAGGGTGGATGACCAGGCCCCTCGAGCAAAACTCGGGCTGGACTTTTGTCACCGACAGGAAGGTTCTCTGAGTACAACACGGTGCAGGCAGCAGAGCCTGTTGACATGGTGTGCAGTAAAGGATGGGGAAGTTCTGTGGGGACCCCTCTGACAAGGACAGCCCACTCAATTAGCTGGAACTAATGATCCTTTGGAATCCCTGTTTATCTTCCTTCCCTGGGGGCTTCCTGGCCGGCCTGCATATTTACACTGGAGAGGGCTGCACAGAACAGAGGAAATCCGATGGACCCAGAACCCCACGCTTCCCCCGCCCCTCCTTCCCACCCTAGACGTGACTTCCCAAGACTCCCTTCAGTGAGGTGAGTGAGCACAGGCTCCACATCTAGTTCTGAAAAGCCCGCTGTTGGCAAACCCTAGGGAATCTGGCTCTCTCTCTCTCTCTCTCTTTCTCTCTCTCCAAGGGTCGGGACTAGCCCCTGTCAAGACCAGGCTGAAAGCACGCGCCATCGGCTGATCTCCTCCGGCAGCATTTACAACGGAGAAAAGGATGGAGCCGTCTGCTGCCCTCTTCGAGGGGAAGGCACACGGTGGGTCACGTCCACAGTCCAGGGACAACACGGGCTTTCCCAGGGCGAAGTCTGCCCGGGCCCACCTATTTCTGGAACACTCACTCTAAACTGCGAGGGGGTCTCCAGCGTGTTGAAGTCAGATGATGCTGAAATCCCGTCCTCCAGCGTCTCCAGAAAGACCTTCTGGAACTCCAGCATCTCGGGCAGGCTCCCAAAGAGCGACTCCATCTGTGGGAAGGGATCCGCGGGGATCAGCAAGGGAGGGCCAGGGACCCACGAGCTCTGGGCCGGCAAACCAGCCACAGTGAGCTCACCCCCCACCCCACCCCCAAAGCCCTCCCTTTACCGAAGGCAGCACATTTGCTCTGGGGCAGAGTCTATACATGTAAGCTGGGATGGCTCTGATCACTATAATCCCAACTCCTTTTCATTTATTTTTTTTGGTGAAAGTAAAATTCCCAGAATTCAAATCAGGAAAAATAGGAGTCAGCAGAGAAGAATGAATCACTCTTACTTAATGCAGCGGTTCTCAACCTGTAGGTCATGACCCCTATGGGGGTCAAACGACCTTTCACAGGGGTCACCCGATTCATTAACAGTAGCAAAATGACAGTGATGAAGTAGCAGTGAGAATAATTTCATGGTTGGGGGTCACCACCACATGAGGAACGGTATGAAAGGGTCACGGCATGAGGAAGGTTGGGAACCACTGACTTAATGTTTAAAGACTTAACTTATTAAGAAGCCACCTCCGGGGTTGGAGGGATGGAAAGGGAAAGGCAGGGAGGAAGGGGAGGAGGCAGTGCTGTGTCGTGCAGACGGAGATCACGATTGTGCAGCAGCCTGTGTAGGGACAGCTGAATCAAGGCTGATCTGTTCTGCAAGCCTGCGGCCGTTTCACAAGACAATGTCCACCCTCCCGCACACCGGGCCTGGCATCCTGCTCTGTACAATCCAGCCACCGCCCTTGGTGGGGCAGAGGCCACGTCGAATGGCATTGGAGGAAGCCAAGACTGGGAATCTTACAGAGTCCAAGCAGGGATATTCTTCAGGACGGCTCAAAGCTACCCGCTGAGGACAGACCGAGACAGCCCCATAGGGTTTCCTAGGTTGTCGTCTCTATTAGAGGCTGACACCTGGTAAAGATTGTACTTTGGACACGTTGTCAGGAGAGACCAGTCCCAGGAGAAGGAGATCAAGCCCAGTAAAGTAGAGGGGCAGCGAACAAGGGGAAGGCTCTCAAGATGGACTGGCACAGTGGCTGCAACCATGGGCTCAGACACAAGGGTCGTTGTGTGGACGGCGCAGGACTGGGCAGCGTCTCCTTCTGCTGTGCGCAGGGTCGCCATGAGTCGGGCCCAACTCCACAGCACCAACCATCTCTCCTGGAGCACAGCACGGTGTCCCATCCCACAGGTGGGTTCACACTACTGGCCTTCCAATCAGCAGCCAGGCCTTCCCCATTCCTTAACCACTGCTCCATCAGTGCTCCGCACCCCCAGGATAAGCAGACGTGGTCCTCTGACAACTATGGTAGGGGGCAGAGGGAAGGTGATACTTTACCTCGTCTTGTGTAAGAAAGGTCTCGTTTTGAAGTGGCTCCAAATATAATTCAAAGAGACAGCTCAGGTCCTGAAAGACAAAAGGAGAGCATCTCCAACACCGAGTCCAGTCTCGGAAATGCCCCAGAGGCCCCAGGGGCCCGGGCGCTGCCCCACACTCCCCTCAGCCAGGAGGAAGTGAGTGTGTTCTCAAAACTCTTCACCGCCACCCAGGTGGCGAAGATCACTACAAAGCCAACCAACAGCTGGACCCTGGGTTCTCCTTTAGAGCAGGTGGCGGCCCTGGCAGCACACGAGTAGGAGAGGGGAGCTGAGGCCGGGCCCTTCCTTTGGGTTCAGCGTGAGCTGGGCTCCTGGGGGATCCAGCAGGGGCTCCCTCTCTGTGTCATGTGTGTCAAGGGGTGAAGCCTCGGCGCTGGAAGGAGGAGGAGGAGGTCGGTGAGCGCTGCAACCCGGGACTGACTGGTCAGCATCTCAACCCCCAGATTTCAAATGCAAGAAGAAAGCCCCAAACGTTGGCAGTCCTAGTGCTTAAAGCCAGTGCCCTCTGTGGGGCTCTAGTGAACGAGGCTCCCCCAGGGTGGAAATCAGGGCGTTGACCGTCTTCATAAAACTTCTCAGCTGAAGGCATTTTATATTTAATCCTATGAAACCAGGGGCAGTATAAAATTTAATCTAGGTCAACTTGTTTATTTCTGGTTTCAAGTATCCTGAGGAAGTTTGAGTCCTAAGACACTAGAAGCCGCTAACGAACAGCAAGGACCAACAGTTTGAGAGGCTCTCATTTCACGAGAAATTCAGGTAGGGCTGGGATTGCACGCGGGATGGCAGAGCTGGGCACTGGGCCCGGCGGGCACACCAGAGCCAGCTGGCACAGGTGAGTGAGCCAGTGGACAGGGTGGGCTGGGCCTCCACTCTTGGCCATGCTGGGATCGCTCAGGGCGGCGTCCCGGGCACCCCCAGCACGTCCACCCTGAGCAGCAGCCCTGGGCAAGCGAAGCGCAGGTGTTTGCCAGGGGGCAGGGCTTTCTGCCTACTTCACCCACAAAAGAAATGAGCCTCCCAAGCTGGGTGGCCCGGCAGCAGAGTAAGCCCTAACCACCACTACGACACTGAGCAAATCAAGGGGCCACCCTCGGGCCCTCCAGAGCTGTGAGAAGGGGTTCAGAGCTTCTGGAAAGGTCACCGTGGGCACCAGTCATTGAGAATTCTTGTCTGAACACCCCACAGCTACACAGCGCCAGGCGTGGTGCATGCGAGACCACCATCGCTGTGGATATCCTGCACCCCCAAGGCCCTGGAGAAGGGGCTTCGGGCCGCTCTGCTGGGCTGGCTGTGGGCAAGGCCTTAGGTGAAGCACTCCTCAGGGCAGAGGGCGTTGAGACCCGGGCCTGCGGGGGAATCTGGTAGGAACTGCGCCTGGGCCAGCATTTAATTTGTGGACTCTAGGCAGAGGCCGTGAAGGCTAAGAGAGGCCAGTCACTATCCCCCCCGTGAGGATGTGGAGGGATTGGGGCTGCAGGGGCGTGCATGTGTGTGTGTACACCCATGGGCCGTGGACAACCCCAGGCCATGCTGGGCTTCTAGCCTGCTGCCCTGACCCCCACTGCAGGTGAAGCCGGCATCCCAAGTGCCCCCACAGGGGCAGAAGAGCTCCGCCTTCCCAGAGCCTGCACTCCTCCTGCAAATGCTCTCCCGTCCCCACTGGGGGATCTGAGTGCATGTGCGAATTCTGTGGGTGCCCTATACTTGCACATGGCCCCCCACCATGGCAGGCCCAGGGCCAGAGCCCAGCCAGAGCCCTGGATCCTGGGTCAGCAGCCCCCATGAGCCCTCTCCCCAGTTCCTTCTCTTCCTCACCGCAAACAGCCTTTGCCTCCATTGCTAACCCGGCCCCCTCCCTCTGGCAAATCACACACCACACCACACCACACACCGAATACCACACACCAAACCAAATCAAACCTCACACTGCACAGGGCACATGGGTGCACCCGTCTCCATGGTCGGCACTGCCCTGGTAGCAGAAGCATCCATTATCCGACTCTTCCTCTTCCTCCTCCCCAGGAGCCAATCACTACTCACGGAATGGCAGGTGGGTCTGGGTGTGGTCCCCACCCAGCAGGGCCCCCAGGGCAGGTGGGTCTGGGGAGGTCTGTGCCCAGACCACCAGCGGCCAGCAGGGGGACAGGGAGGACCCAGCCACCTCACCTTCACATAAGACTTCTCCGTGTCCACCAGCTCCTGGATGACTTTGCGGAGACGGTCGGCGTCGGAGAGGTGACGGGCCAGTGGCCGAGGTGGGGGGTCGCGGCTCTGCCCCGCTTTCTCCATCTGGGGCTCAGTGAAGCTCCTGCACAGGGCGGCGATCTGCTCAGTGCTCTGGAGGGGGAGGGGGCAGAGGGGTGAGATGGACAAGCCAGTGAAAGAATGTTCCCTGCTCTCGCCACGGGTCACCAAGGACAGCCAGCCCTGATCCCTGACACAGGAGCGTGAGGGCAAGAGGTCAGCCCTCAAAGCCAGGCCACGTAGCTCTGCAGTCCCTGGCCACAGAGCAGAGCCCCAAGTGACACATCAGGGGCAGGAGTTGTGACTGAAGGAGGGAGATCCTGGCCCACTGGGGCCACTGCCCAGCGAGGACAGGGCAGCAGCAGATGGCTGGCCACCTGGGGAGTGTGGGTGGAGAGAGGTGTATAAGCCCCTCTCGGGGGCTCCCACAGAAGCAAGTGTGGCCTGCAGCTGGCTCTTACACGAGGGGCGCCAACCCCTGGCCACGGAGACTAGTTGATGGCAGGCAGTGGGGACAGAAATGGAGAGACGCACAGGAACAGGGAGACCTGGGGCAACTCCAGTCTTTGGGGGACCGCTTACTACAATGTCAGCCTGCCCCAGAGGAGGGATGCGGAACATGTCAGTGTGGCCCCCACTGTTCCCAGAGGACCCCCGGCTCCCTTCACAGCCTCTCCTTTCCACACTGAGGGTCCACCACCCAGCCGTCTCTGACTCAGGGAGTCAGCGTGGAGGTGACCTCCCGCAGGGTTTCAATGGCCCGTGTCCTAAAGGTTCGCCAGCCCTTTCTTACAAGGCACTTCTGGGTCCACTCCAACCTCTCAGCAGTCGAGCATGGCAGCCACTGGGCATTGCCAGGGATCCCCCCTCCCATGGTACCCATGCAGACCACCGCACTGTGGCCGCCCTCGGTCCACATCATTGCTGACCGTGGTCCCCAAGCGACTGGATTACAAGCATTCGGTTCACCCCCGGAACACTGAAATTGTAATAATATCAAGGGAATTGATATTATCTGCCCCAAATGTTACTGTAGCAGCCAAGTGCCTGGCACAGGAACCGACCAAATGACCACTGTCCAACAGGCCTCCTCCCTTCGGCTTAAATGTTTTCCTGCCTGGTCCAGGAACCCTGGTGGCATAGTAGTTACCCGTTGGCCTGCTAACTGCAAGCTCAGCAGTTCAAACCACTAGGCCACAGCCACTCAGTGGGATAAAGACGGCTCGAGCTTTCGACGGCCGTAAAGAGTTCCCCTTTTGGAAACTCAGGGAGGCGGCTCTGCCCTGTCCTGTGAATCCCCATCCACTCAACAGCGGCCACGTTTGGTTTTTCAGTTTTACCAGATCCTTATCACTTGGTGCATCTCAGGTGAAACACTGACCCTGTCAGAAACACCTTTATTATTATTCTGAACCTTTTTTGCTGGTAGCTCTTCCAGATATTATAACAACCCACAATTCAGTTAGATCAAGCATAATGGTACAATCGCTTAACAGCATCACAGAACATCTTTGTTGGGGACTGTATCACTTTGGATCACAAACAACTGGAACATATTGCTGCCAAGGAGGAGCGGTGCTGAGACGCATGCTGGGTGGCCTGCGGGCGTGAGAGTTTGCACATGTTGTCTCCCTCCCCGGCCAGCAGAAGAGTGTCCCCAGGAAGTCTTCCCTGTGCCACAGGAAGTCCACAAAGCAAGTGTCCGTGGGACACACTGAAGAGCAGGCACACATACAACAAACAGAAGCATGGCTTTGGAACAGGTTGACCTGTAAAATTTCAGGGAGGAAGCAGGCTGGAACCCAGCCCTTGAAAGAGTGTTTTCCAAGAAAAATCTACCAAACGAGCAAAGGGGCTGTAGGAAATGAGCCCACCATGTCCACAGCCAAAGGCAAGGGGAGGGAGAGGCCCAGGCCCCACTGGCATCTGCTAGAGAACACCCAGTTGCTTGACTCTTCAAGTTCAATCAATTCTCTTTATTCTGCACATTAATATCGATGAAAAGGTTTGGTAACCACGTAACAGGTACCAAGCCTCCAACAACACAGACACAGAGGACCTAGCAGAATTCCCCTGTCAAACACTTCAGAGTATACGTAAGTACACATGATTCCTCTTGAGAGAGACGTACTAGTATGTACTTGTTTCTCTGTCTTTAGCACACTTCTGAGAAAGCCTGCAGGCATGGCTGAGATCTGGATAAAATTTCAAAGATCACAGACATGGATCCGAATCATCAAGGCACCAATCAGAATGTAACGATCTATCCAAAATGTCTCCTCTCCTATTTAAAATAAGTCCCCTTAAGATCATTACTAAAAAATGCTACCACCATCCAATCCTGTCTCCTCTGGCCTGAAACCGCTGGCAGCTCCCTGTCCATCTGCTGCTGCAGCGTGCTTGCATGGTCCTGAGCAAAATCGTACTTGTGCGTGGCTATCAGTGAGGTCGTTCTATAGTTTGAGCATTTTGCCAGGCTTCTTTAAAATAAGCACAAATATGGATCGCTTCCACTCAGTTGGCCTAATAGTTGTCTCCCAAATTTCTGGGTATAGAAGAGGGGTGCTTCCAGTACATCATCAGCATGTTGAAAATTTTTACTTGGCATTACATCAATTCCTGGAACTTTGTTTTTGGCCAGTGCTTTCAAGGCGGCTTGGACTTCCTTCAGCACCATTAGTTCTTGCTCATAGGCTACCCCCGGAATGGTGGAATGCCGACTAGCTCTTTCTGGTGCAGTGACTGCATTCTTTCCATCTTCTGTGGATGCTTCCTACATCACTCAGTGCTTTCCCATTGAATCTCTCAGTGTTGCCACTCAAGGCTTGAGTTTTCTTGAATTCTTTCAGCTTCAGCTCTACTGAGTGTGTTCTTGTGCATTTCTAAGTTGATATTTTACTTTGTCTTCTCCACCCGCCCTTTGAAAATTTCTGTCCAGCTCTTTGACTTCATCATTCATTTCATTGTCCGTAGCTGCTCTGCTATCGAGAGCAAGTTGGAGAGTGTCTTCTGGAATCCACACTGAGCTTTTCTTTCTTTCTTTTTAATGACCTTTCGCGTTCTTCATGTGTGCGCATGATGTCGTCTACAGTTCCTCCGAGCCTCCGCCATTAGCGTGCGATGCAGTAACCTCTCCTCTTACGGTCTTGAAATTCAGATGAGTTATACTCCAGGTCATATTTTGGCTCTCGTGGACTTATTTGAATTTTCTCCAACTTAACGCTAAACTTACATATGAGCAATCGATGATCTGTTCCCCCGTCACACCCGGGCCTGTTTTAACTGCTGAGCTTTTCCCTGGTCGCTTCCCACAGGTGCAGTCGATTTGATTTCTGTGTATTCCACCTGAAGAAGTCCAGTGTATACTTTTTGAGAAATCTATTTTCAACGAAAAAGTCATTGGTCTGGCAAAATTCTAGCATGTAGCATAAAGCTTTATTTCCATCACCAAGACCTTATTTTCCAACAATTGTCTCTTCCTCTCTCCAACTTTCACATTCTGATTGCCAGTAAATATCAGTGCACCTTGATTACATGTTTGATCAACTTCAGACTGAAGATGTTGATGGAATCCTTCGATGTCTGCATCACTAGCTGTAGTGGTTGGTTCATAAATTTGAATAATAGTTGCAATGATTGGATTTCTTTGTATGCAAATAGGCTTTATCCTGTCACCGACAACACTGTCCTTCAAGACAGGCCTTGAATTGTCGTTTCTGACAATGACCGCAACGCCATTCCTCCTGCTTGGCTCACTTCTGGCCAAGTAAACTGTGTGATTTTCTGATTCACCATGGCCAAAGGGGATGGTCCACTTCAGGTCGCTACTGCCTCCAATGTCAATCTTTTTATGTTCCACTTCTGTTTTTAGTGACCTCCACGTTTCCTAAATTCATACTTTGTACATTCCAAGTTCCAATGAACGTTTTCATCTCCTTCTCATTTGAGTCAGGCCCCGTCCGAAGTGAGCGTCCTGAAGGCTTTGTCCCCACAGGCAGCGCTCCATCCACGTCATGATGGCCAACTCCACGTTGACAAGGCAGCTCCTCCTCCGCCATATCCTGAGTGCCTTCCCACCTGAGAGCTCCATCTTCCACCACTGTTTCCGACGACGTTCAGCTTCTACTCACGAGAGTGTTTCGAGGCTAGCCAGAGGGTTTTCAGCGGCTCATGCCTGTGACACGGGCGGCCCATGCCTCCTCCGTCGTCTGCTGACACCTGTTCACTTTGGGTGACCCTGCTGGTGCCTGATGTACCAGGGACTGAGCTTTCAGCCTCACAGTAACACAGGAGCCACCACAGTGGGACAAACTGACAGACAAGCAGTGGCAGGCAAACAGCAGGCTAGCTGAGTTAGTGGAGCAGGCAGGCCTCGTGGATGATGCCATTGGAAGAATGATCCCTATGGGAGCAAACTGACAGCAGTAGCTGGAAAGCTCAGCCTGGAAGCTTAGGGGCCAATGAGTTTATGTTCCCAGAAGAGGGGCCTCTTGGAATAGGAAGACACACTGGTTGCAGAAATTAAAGTAAATTTGTAAATTTCAAAAACAACAACAAAAAAACGTTTTTTTGCGTGATCTACTGGACAAGGATCTCTGTGGTGTCAGGTACAGGCATTTCCCCAGACATTTTCCAGGGATGCTAGGGAGTGCCTCCATGGGTAGCATCTTGCGTGGTTGTCCCCAGAGTGGCCATGGGCCCAGCCTGTGCCACAGGATGCTCAGGGAGCAGGGGGAAGCAGCCGGAATCACACCTGCCTCTGGAACCCTGGGCATGGCCCCCTAGTAACGGAACTAAAACCAAACCAAACCCACTGCCAATGAGTTGATGCTAATTCAGTGACGTTATACAGTGTAGAACTGCTCCTTAATGTTTCTGAGACTATAAATCTTGAAAGGAGCTGCCAGCCTCATCCTTATCCCTCAGAGCAGTCGGTGAGTCTGAACTGCCAACCTTGTGGTTCGCCGCCCAACGTGTAACCCACTCGGCCACCAGGGTTCCTTCCCTGAACCAAACAGCCAGATACTAATACCCAGATGAATATGACATCCTATCCTGGAGTTTGCACGGCAAGCTCGGGCAATACAATCTTG